GTCCAAATGCCCTGTAACAATGCCAAACAGCCGTCTTCAGCAGAATTAACTGTCCAAAGCTGAAGTAAATCGCTAGCCATGGGAAATTCAGGCCCAGACTGCACAACATACGAAGCCGTTAGAATTATGGTGGAGCTGAACTCCAATCTCCTACTCGATATGTACATTTCACTATGGTACGCGAGGCGAAGTGTGAGCCGCGATCGATCCGCGCCAAGTAGCCGTTTTTCATTAACTGACACCATGTAAAATGACCGCTTGGCGCGCGTCGATCGCGGCTCACTTTTCGCCTCCCGTACTATAGTCTGAAAAGACAATYTACAGGAGACAATCCAGGACTTTGACGCAACAGGGGGACTGGACGAAWGGCATTTTGGCTTCCGAAGCCACAGTTGTGATGCACAGTTTGTCCGAAGTGATCCACCACATCTAAGCCCTTGTGATATGGACACGGCTAGGTTCTTGAGCATTTTCGCCGTGGTTATATTCGGATTRGGTGCCTCWYATGCCAAAGTYGCTGTTGACATCCCTGATGATCTTGGCTGCTGGATCTTCGTGTCACGGTCTCAAACCGCTCCCAGGACTTCCTTGGTTGTAGCGGCTACATCGACCTCCGCGAGAACGCCGAGTTGCAGCATCTTACACNCGCAAAAGTACAAAATTACATTATTGATTATCTAGTGTTATTATTACTTGTTAAATTATAAAGGTATATCCACTAACGAAAATAATTTCTTACTTTTCGCTATTTATGTTTTCGCTGTTAAAACATTTCGCGATTTTTATTTTCGCTGTTTTATTTTCGCGATTTTTACTTTCGCGGTTATTTTTCGCGATTTTAACTGGCACCCCTTACCAACGGATTGTTCAAAAATTAAAATTCTAATATTAAAATTCATAAAAAAAAAATAGTTTTATACATTTCATACATTTTATACATAAGTTACCATATAAAAAACCAAAAGTTGATAGTGATAGTTTCTCCTACAAAACTATAAGGGTTAAAATAATAGAGTATGAAAAATTAAAGACTATAATGACATTTGACGTTTGAAAAATAAAAAATTGGAAAAATTTAAATACTTTTTGAAACAATAGTGTCTTACGTTAAATGGATCACCCTGTATATTAAATTTTATATTATTATAATTGAGATAAATATCATTAGAGCATAAAAAAACTGATTAAAATCGTACTTATTGATTTATAATTGATGATTGATAACATAATATAGTTAATAACTGTACATTCATTTTAATTATAATATTGATATCAAATAAGTTTCAAGCCTTTCTAAACCTTTAAATCCTTAAACGTTTTAATTTTTAATCGTTGATATTACATAGTAAACCCTTAAACACTAGGTGTCCCCCTTAAGGAAGGAGATTTGAGGTAAACTATTAAATATAGTGATTGACAAATACTGTGACAGTGGAGTGGCATGCGAAGATTATTGGAGAGTAAAAAGAAGAAGAAGACATGAAAAATAATTGTATACTATGAACGTTTATTATTAAAGTAGGCAGAAAATATCAGTTACAACTTTGAAATCATGTTTTAATATAATTTTAAATAAAAGATAATCATACGTACAATAAAATGTTACAAATTTGTTTCATGTGTTAAAATGTAGAAGAGCATATTTTGAAATTTTATGTTTCGGAACTAATACTGTTGTTATAATAGTCTTTAGACAATTTTAACGTTTTTATTTATATTTTTCATGATTTGTTTTACAAAAAATGTCGATAGAATAGAATATCAAAGTTATACTTTCAAATCTACATACACATTACCGTGGGTTATTCAACACTGATTATGTTATTAATTATTTATAAAATTTAATACTGACGTTATAATAAATGCATTACCTATTATAACTGTAGGTATAATATACAAATTTCGCTCTGTTTCATTAAAAATTCGTTACAACTACAAATACTAATAAGTTATACCATATTGATTTTATAATATATTATAAAATCAATGGTTATATACGCATTGCAGTATATGATGATAATAATATATTTTATTTTACTATTATTGACGGGTGGAAACCGATTTATTATACTAGTTAAGTAATATTGGGATTTACTATTTACAATCAATAATATTACACAAGAATATACTGATGATAATATGGATACAGAATAGGAGAAAAAACTGGTGAAAACAACATACTCAATTAGAGTAGGTGAAGAAAATAATTTTATGTACATAATATCACAGTATTATATACATAAGACATTGAATTATATATTTTAATTTTTAATATTGATATTATAATATAATGCAAATGTAAAATAATACCAAACATATTAGTAG